GTGACAGGTATGCCTCAGGTCATGTTCCCATGTGTGGCTTGCAGGTAGGCTGTGGATCTCACTTCTCAGAATTGTTTATCAAGGAAGTCCCAGCACAGCTCGTCCAAGGACAGAGAAGAGAGACTGGAGTGCAGCCCACCGCTCTCACCTCTATGACCAGTGAACAGGCCAGGTTGAAGTCTTGGTTAGCCAAAACCATTGTTAGGAGGTTCCCCCTGGGACACTGTGTGCCGTGTGCCTGTGACCTCCCACATAGGCCAAGCAGGAAGGAATCCAGGGGTGGTCTTCCACACAAGACTTCGACTGAATCCCACACTCCTGGTCGGCCCCAGCCAGTGAGGGCAGAACCAACTAGTAGATGGGTTCACTCTGTCTCCCTTTCTCTCTTTGCTTCTCAAATGAATGAATGGAGATTTTGAGGAGTTTTTCCCCTGGCATGAGGTCGTGGAGACACTAGGATGTTGTGCTGCACTGGTTCATGAAACATGATACTCGAGACCAAGTCCTTACCCACACTCTGCCCTAAGCTGCAGGTGAGGTCTGTTGCTGTGGCTCATTTTCTTATTTGTTTTTAGATTTATTTTATTTATTTGAAAGGTAGAATTATACAGAGGGAAAGACAGAGCAGGAGATCTTCAGTTCACTGGTTCACTCCCTCAGTGGCTGCCAGTAACTAGGGCTGGACCACACCAAAGCTGGGAGCTGCCATTGGATCTTCCATGTGGGTACAGGAGCTCAAGAACTTGGGTCATTCTCTGCTGCTTTCCCAACACATTAGCAGGGAGCTGGATCAGAAGTGGAGCAGCTAGGATTTGAACCTGGGGTGTCGGTATTAGAGGCAGCAGCTTTACTCGCATCCTAAGTGAGAGGCAGAATCAGCACCATGTCAAGGGTCAGGCTGGCGACATCTGTATAAACTACAAGGCGACTGAGCAGAGTGAGATGATGGATTGGTCGAGTGCTGCACAGCAATGAAAACCCCACAAACCAAGACACACAACCTCACATAGGATTCTGTGAACAAGGCCCGCGGCTTTTCTATAAAGGAACATTGTCACTTTGGCAGGGCTTACACGGGTAGATAAGCACATTAAATATGAGTGATCCATGTGCTTTTGTGTGTTACATCTCCCCAGCACCTCCTGTCCCTCTGCCACCATTCCGCTCCTAGGACACCAGCTGCCACAGCTTCATCCTCCAGGGAGATGTGAGCGCCGCCCCCCGCAAACTGGACCACCTGCCTTCCCTACTGTACCAGAAGACTAATCCTAACCCTAACTGTACCAGACTCTGCTTGAAACATAAGCAAAAATACCATAATAGGTGGCTGGCGTGGGTGGGCATTCGTTCTCTCCCCTTGTTCTCTGTTGGTGCCACTCCCTGTGGCCCCTTCAGCCGAGGGCAAGGTTGGGGCTGGGATGCTTACTTAGAATGGTGGGCTGGCATGTCCAGTGGTTGGCCTGGCAGCTGCCTGCACCCACCTCAAGTCTTCACCCAGCCTCTTGTCCTCCAGCATCAGGGGAGAGCTCCTAAGGAAAATCCACCTTCCCCCCTTCCCCCCTTCCTCCCCTGCCCGCCCAGAGGCCAACTTTCAAGAGTCTGCAAGCACAAGGTGCACTGCTTCGGGAGCCTGGGCCCAGAGGATGCAGGCCGTGGCTCCCAACTCCTCCCATGTGACCAGTGAGTTCCAGAACCTGCCCAGGTTCAAGATCCCATCCACTGCTAGGCAGGATGGCAGTTATACAGCTAGCAGGGTGCCCTATGCACACCAGAGGGAAAATGCAACAGTGTTAGTATCAGGGTACCCCAAGAAACTAGTCCAGTTTTGTACAACAAAGGCATTGTCATTCTCCTACCCCCACACACATTCGGAGTTTCCAAGCTTTTTAGAGCTGAACTCATAAAAAGAAGCATCCACCCAAATCACTGGCTCTGTGAGGAGAACTCACATAGAAGGACATGGGCAGGGTTGGAGGTCTGCATCGTGGCCCAGTATGTCAAACCTCCGCCTGTCAGACCAGCATCGCCACTCCCCTTCTGATCCAGCTCTCTGTTAATGCACCTGAGAAGGCCACGGAGGATGGACCATGTGCTTGGGTCCCTGTACCTACGTGGGAGACCTGGAAGAAGCTCCTGGCTTTGGTCTGGCACAGCTCCAGGTGTTCAGCCATTTGAGCAACGAACCAGCAGCTGGAAGACCTTTCTCCATCAATCCTTCTTTCTCTGTAACTCTGCATTTCAAATAAAAAGGACGAACTTAAAAAAAAATCAAACTGGAAGATCCCAAATAGCAAAACAGTCTGGAGCAAAAATGAACAAAGCAGTCCTGATGGAGTAGCCTATGGGCTGAAGTCCTCATCTTGCATGAGCCTAGATCCCATATGGGTGATGGTCCTGGCTGTTCCATCCCTTCCAGCTCCCTATTTGTGGCCTGGGAAAGCAGGAGAGGACAGCCAAAACCTTGGGACTCTGCACCCACATGGGAGACCTAGAAGAAGCTCCTGGCTCCTGATGGTTTTGGATTGGTTCAGTTCTGGCAGGCCACTTGCGGCGTGAACCAGTGGATGGAAGATCTTTCTGTCTGTTCTTCTCTCTGTAAATCTGCCTTTTCAATAAAAATAAATAAATATTTAAAAAATGAACAAAGCAATAGGCATTATACTACTTGACTTTAAATATATGGCAAAGCTATAATGAGTAAAACTACACATTCCTAGCATATAGAGCCTTGGACCAAGGGAACAGAGACCCTTGAAGTAAATCCACACTTGTATAGCTGACTGATCTTTGGCAAAGGGGCTCACAGCATTCACTGGAGAAAGGACAGTGTTTGTGGTAAATGGTGCTGAGGAAATTGAATTTCTATGTGAGCAGGAATGAAATGACCCCTGACTTTCACCATGGATGAAAATCAACCCAAAATGGATTAAGGATTTAAAATATTAAGATCTGAAACTTCAAACTGACTAGAAGAAAACACAGGGCAACCGTATCAGGACATTGGCACCAGCAAGAACACTCTAGAACAGGCCCCCGAAGCACAGGAAATAAATACAAATGGACCATTGGGATGAATGCACTAACTGGAGTTTCTGCATTGCAAAGAAAACCATCCACGAGAGGACAGAGCGTGGCCAGAAATATTTGCAAGCCACCTCTCTGCAGGAGGTTAATAGCCAGGAAACAGAAGCAATTCAAACAACTCAGTAGCCAAAAATATTTTTTTTGCAGTTGAAAAAAATGGGATCTAATCAAGCCCTTGGATATAGGTTGCTGGCATCCCATGCCATGGCTGAACCAGCTGCACCATAGCACCTGCCCCTGCATGTAATATTTGACTTGGCATTTTTAGTTGTTTGGCAAAGCGATAACCAAGTAGACCAGGAGCCCCACGATGCTGGAGCTGGCGACTTGGAGGGCCTCTGGAGGCTACTGTACTTCAACAGGAGAAAATAGACCTGGGTTGAAGAAGCCTGCCAATGTTCTTGCTGAAGTTGGTTAGTGTTCGCCTAATAATAAGCTGTCTGCAGACACTTGTAAGAGATTGGAAATGCAGCACACGCTGGACTCACAGTCTCATTACAGAAAACAGAAGTGCAGGGGGAGCCGTTCCCAGCATGCTCTTTCTGCGCCGTAGTCGACACGGTATCACAATTGCTCTCCATTTCATGTCATCTTGAGATGGTTAAAAACAAGCACTCATTGTGAGCTGACGCAAAACCTGACTGTGTGCAGTGTGGGATAACGAGATGTTTCCGGAAGATTCGCAAGGTCTGACAGAAAAGGCTGCCTAGCAGACAGAGTTGCTCCTAAGTGTCAGGGCAAACCCTCCACTGTGGCTCAGTGGGCAATGCCGCTGTTGGAGATACAGGCACCTCACATAGGAGCACAGTTTTGAGTCTTAGCTGCTCTTCCCGTCCATCTGTCTGTCAGTGCACCTGCTGCCACATGGGAGGCCAGGACAGAGTTCCAAGCTCCAAGTTTTACTCTGGCCCAGATGTTACTATTCTGGGAATTTGGGCAGTGAACCAGCAGATGGAAGGGCTGTGTGTGTATTCTCTGCCACTCTGCTTTTCAAATCAATGAATATCTTTTGTAAAAGGCAAAGGGAGGGAAAAAAATAAATGTGATGATAAAAGAAGCAAGGGATGGGGAGGAGGGGAGGGCAAAGTCAGAGCATGGGATAAGTGGCAGGAAACGTGGGAATTCTGGGAACAACCTAAGTGGGCCGTGTAGACCCCAGAATTCAGGTTCAGCCTCCGTGGTGCATGGAGACCTGTCCTGGACCCAGGTGGAAATGCACCAACAGCATGCGGTAACAAAGGGGCGCACAGCACCCTCAGGAGGGGTGATCTCCGTCAAAACGTGTTCGTCCTTATGCCTCTGTTCTGCGCATGGCGTCAGCAGAAGTTCGTAGGCCGAGGCGTGGCTGCTGGCGGTGAATGGACGGGAAAATAGGCCTCTTGCCGGGCGCCCTCCATAATCCTGGTGGGCGAGCAGAGCGTACAGATTGCGGGAGCCCAGGAGCTCTGTCCGCGGTGCTGAACGCAGCCGCTGCTCCAGCCAGACCTGCCCTCCGCCCTCACCTCCAACTTCCTCGGAGCTGCGCCCCCAGCTTTCTGCCCCACCCCACTCCACCCCCGCGCTTCTGTCTCCCCCATCCCCGGGTGAGCCAGCAGCTGGCGCAGCATCCTTCGTTTTCAGTGCCCTGGGTGGGCAGCGGGGACCGGGATCCCTAGTTCCAAACGCCGGGCTCTCAGTTCCCCGGGCGCGTTCGCGGCGGAACCCAGAGCGCGCCCGGCGCCCTGTTCCTGCGCGCCCCTTCCCCAGCTCCCGCACCTGCTCCTGTTCCTCTTCCTTCTCCTCTTCCTCCTCCTCCCCGTCCCTCGCGTCCGCCCAGCGGGCCGGCAGTCGGGTCCCCCGGGCCCGGGAGCGAGCGAAGTGGCACAAAGGGCGGCGCGGCGCGACAGGCGGAGGTGAGGCGTGGGCGCGAAGCCAGCATGGACGCCGAGTACCCGGCCCTGGAACCCCCGCTCTGCAGTGAGTTCAAGCGCCTGTGCAAGCGGCTGCAGGAGGCGCTCCGCGAGCTCAGGGAAGACCTCGCGCCCTTCCGAGATGACCGCTACTACCGGTAGGCGCCGCGCGACCCACGGGCCGCGTGGGCTCCCGGCCTGGCGACAGTTCCTGCAAGCCCCGGCGCGCCGGGGGAGGGGCGGGATGGGGTAGCGGCGCGCGCTCCAGGGCTCTGGGGTAGACCCTGGGGAGAAAGACCCCTGCATCCCTAGAACCCGGAGCCCAGATTCCGACTCCCAAGAAGGAGATCCGCGGGTTGTGGTGCCCACCCGCTCCTCCCTCCGAGTGGGCCTCTGCCCGCTCTGCCTGGCTGAACGGCAGGCGGGGAGCCCGGAAAGTCTTGCCTTGGCCTGGACTCCCGGAACCTCGGCCACGCCATTTGCGGGAGATCTCCAGGGCCGGGCTTTGCCCGGGGTCCCCGGACTCTGCGTCGCCGCGGTGAATGCCCCCCGGGGAGCTGAGGCCTGGAGCTGGGCGGAGCTCGTTTCTGTCTGCTGCTGCTGCTGCAGAAAGCCGAGAGCTGGGCGGTGGCAGATCTGTGCCGGCTCACCTACTCCTTCATCCGGCTCACAGGGGAGACTGGGTGCCGGGCCTTGGCAATGTTAGGGGGTGAAGTCGGGATCCTCGGGGCTGCCTTTCTGGAAGGTTGGAATGGTTTGGAAACACCTCCCTCTCAGCATCAAACCTTTCCCCAGCTGGCTGGCTTCCCAGGAAGCTAACCATGGTCATGAATGCTGAGAGCAAACGCTGGGGCATATGATGTAGCTTCTCAAAAAGATTTATGTATTTTATTATTTGAAAGGCAAATTTACGGGGGGGGGGGAGGAGACAAGCAGAGACAGGTACAGAGAGAGAGAGAGAGAAGCAGAGACAGGTAGAGAGAGAATATGTTCTTCCTGTTGGTTCACTCCCCAGATAGCTGCAGCTCCATCGGAGTCTCACAAATGGGTTCCCAGGGGCCCAAGCACCCAAGGCCATCCTCCACTGCTTTCCCAGGCATTAGAGGGACCTGGACGGGAAGTGGAGCAGACGGGATTCAAGCAGGCACCCATATGGGATGTGGACACTGCAGGCAGACGCTTAATTTACTGTGCCACAGCAGCGGCCCCTTGATGTAGCTTTTGAATGAGTTCATTTAAGCCCCACCCCCACTCTGGACAGGCCTGACCACGTGGTAAAGAACCAGAAGTGGCATGAAACGATTCTGCCCCTCCTTCCCTGCCAGGGTCCCCGCACTTTTTGTTTTTGCTCTTGTTTGCTGAAGTCTCTGGCAGAGGAGCGTGTGACTCCTAGAAGGGCCAGGGGTGGGTTTGGGGAACAAGGCCTCCCCACTCGCTGGGGATCTGCAGGTGTGCGTCCTGTAGTCCTTGCCCCCACCTACTCTGCTGAGGGGTCATTGTGCACCTGTCTCAGCCCTTGTCCTAGGCGTTGGGGACACAGCAGTGAGCAGGACAGACAGGGGACCTGCTTTCTCCTGGTTGCGGACAGTAAGCAAATGGACGTGGGACAAGGGCACGTGACATTAGAGTGGCTGGGTGCGGTGTCTCAGTGATTATATTTGAGAACTGAGGAATGGCGTGTTTATAGACCAGGAGGTGGAGGGGAAAGTTGGGAAAGACAAAGGGGTGCTGGCTATCCCCCGGCCATAAACGCGGCAAGTTGAGAGTCCGGTCAGAGGCCCGGCAGCTCCAGTGTGTCCTGGTCCGAGAAGCCAGGTGGGTGGAGTCTTGAAGGCTGGCTGAAGGAGGAGTGTGGATTGCAGTGCACACACAGTGTGTCTCCCCGGCGGGTCTTGAGCCTGGGATGGGATGAGGCTGCTGTAGCAGAGCAAGCAGCTACATTTGTGCTACTTCGCTGTCTGGATTCGTCCTGAAGACCCAGGGATTGTGGAAGGGAAGAGTTGGTTGGTGATAGATTCTACCTGCCCATGGTGAGAGCCAGCTGAGTGCCACATGCTCCACTATGTTCTGGGCAGACAGAGCAGCTGGGCTGACCTGCACTGTGTGTTTCTTAAAGATTTTTTTTTCTTTCTTATTTGAAAGACAGAGTTACAGAAGGAGAAGGAGAGACAGATCTTCCAGCTGCTGGTTCACTCCCCAAATGGCTACAACAGCCAGAACTGGGCTAGTCTGAAGCTAAGAACTAGAAACATTTTCCTGGCCTCCCACATGGTTGCAGGGGCCCAAGGACTTCAGCCATCCTCTGCTGCTTTCCCAGGTGTGTTAGCAGGGAGCTGGATGGGAAGTGGAGCAGTTGGGACTTGAACTGGTGGCCATAAGGGATGCTGGTGTAGCAGGCAGCAACTGTACCCCCGTGCCACAGTGACGTCTCCTATTGCATTTTACAGTCAGGGCCTGTTTCGGATCTCTGCAGTCTCCGCATGCACCGTGGAGTGTCAGTTTCAATGGATTGAACCTTCACGCAAGGAGGTGCTCTTGGGATTCTTTTTTTTTTTTTCCCCCAGTGGAAAGGCAGATTTACAGAGAAAAATAGACAGAAAAGTTTCTGTCTGCTGATTCACTCCCAGATCGGCTGAGCCGATCTGAAGCCAGGAGCTTCTTCTGGGTCTCCCCTGCAGGTGCAGGCTCCCAAAGCTTTGGACTGTCCTTGATTGCTTTCCCAGGCCACAAGCAGGAAGCTGGAAGGAAAGTGGAGCAGCTGGGACATGAACTGATGCCCGTATGAGATGCCAGCACTTGGAGGTGGAGGATTAGCCAGGGCCTCTAATCTTAGGATTCTTAGTCAGCTGACTGTTAACTCCAACTCCTGTGTCCGCTGGCTGGAAGGCCCACAGGCTGTGGTGGTTGTGTTCATTTCCTCAGCAGTGATTCATACTGAAACTCCCCCTCCCAACCCCCCAGACGCTGCCCCCGCCCTGCCCTCCAACCCTTTCTTCCCCACAGGGTCAGGGGCCCTGCTTCTCACAGTGGACACTTATCACAGGGAGAGAAGGTAGCCAGGCCCCTCCACTAGTTGACGCAGCCATTGACTTGGGAGCCCGTGTCTTGTGGCACCCCTGAAAGCTATGGCTCTGGGAGCATAGAACTCATGGTCGCTTCCACGGAGTAAGAACTGCTGGTTCACCCTGTCTGCCGGGACAGCACGTTGGAAAGCAGTCCTGGGGGTGCTGGCACCCTGGGCTCCTTTCTCCACTCCACCCTTTGCTAACCCCCCTGCCTCCGTGCTGGGGCGTCACTCATTTCCATAGTTACCAATGTCCACGTCCACCGAGGTCCGCAGCTCAAGGAAGGGCCTCTCAGGGATCTTGCTAAAGATGCTCTCGGCCTTAAAAACACGAACACCGAAGCAGACGGTCTGAATGGTGGGGTGGCACTTTGGCTCACCCAGCAGCTCCGTGAGGTCCCCTGGCACTTCCTGTTTGCTAGCAATCAGCCACAACTGGGTGCTGATGCTCTGTGGGGGCGGCTGCTTAGCTTCTGTCCCACCTGCACTCTCTCCACATGGAAAAGAATAACCTGGAATCTCCCCTCCGCCCTTGCTGACAGTAATTAACAGCAAGAAAAACAAATGTGTTAACGGGAGTGGGGAGCCCTCACACTGGCAGGTGGCAGGTGGCAGGTGGCTGATGGGGTGCTCTGGCCCGGTGCCTCTTCGTGGGCCTTCACCCTGCAGAAAGGCACATGCCTATCAAGTCGGGCACTGCCATGCTCACAGCTGCATGGGTTATAATGTTCCTACTGGCCTGCCTTCTGTGTAAAAGCAATGGTAGAAAGTGTTGCATTTGATTTGCTCTGTGCTGAACTATTAAATAGCACTCCAGTGAATAATTTTTTAAAGAAATTATTTTGGTTTTATTAGAAAGAGAAAAAGAGAAACAGAAAGATCTTCCATCCTCCAAGTGATTGCAATAGCCAGAACTGAGCCGATTCAAAGCCAGGAGCCAGGAGCTTCTTCTGGGTCTGTCACGCAAGTGTAGGGTCCTAAGGCATGGGGCCATCCGTTACTGCTTTCCTAGGCTACTAGCAGGGAGGTGGATGGGAACTGAAACAGCCAGGACACAAACTGGCGTCCACATGGGATCCCAGGGCTTGCAGGATGAGGATTAGCCAGTTGAACCTCCACGCCAGCCCCTCTAGTAAATACTTTGCACAGTGATGCACAAGATGGTTTTCACACTTGCGACAACATGCCAAAGAAGCCAGCCCGCCTGTGCCACTGGATTGCACATTAAGTGTACGAAGCAGGCACTGTTAGCAGTCAGGATGTGGCTGTCCCTTAAGGGGACAGGGACTGGATGGTGGCTTTGTTGGTCCTAGCAGCATGCTTGGTTGGGTGCTGGCTATGTTGGCTGTGAGCATTCCCCAGCTGCAGTGTGCTGGAGACTTTAATTGAAACCCACCCCTGGGTCTCATGGACAGGCTCACCCCACTCCCCCATTCCTGCCAGCCCATCCCATGGGCACTACTTGCTTTATCTTCTGGCATGTCCAGGCACACAGCTCCGTGCCTGGGGAGAGCTGAATGCCATGTCCTGAATGCCATGATCCACTAATCTATTGTTATCACATCGGGAATTCCCTCACAGTGGTGCACCTGTGGGGCCTGGGTGGCGGCTTGCAGCAAGCCTTGTGCCTGGGAGCTGCAGGCTGAGGATTGCCTATGGCCACCTCCCCCTCCCCGAAGCGAGGAGCCAGGTGCTTCTGCCATGTCTCCCACATGCATGCAGGGATCCAAACAGTTGAGCCATCTTATACTGCTTTCCCAGGTGCATTAGCAGAGAGCTGGATGGCAAGTGGAGCAGCTGGGACTTGAAAACCAGCACCTACATGGGATGCTGGCACTGCAGATGGAAGTTTAACCCACTATGTCATGTCATCGGCCCCTTGTTCTCTGTTTTTTGGCCCAGCCTTGGCCTCCGCCCCGCCCTTCTAACAGTTGCCACAGCCAGCGGGGGCCTTAGGCTGTAGTTTGTGCCCCAGGTTCTTTCTAAAGAACGGCAATTACAGTGCCTGCCTCCTACCAGTCATCATCACAGTGTCCTGAACACTCTGAAGATTCAAGGGCAGAAAATAACCTTGGGTAAGACCCTGTTGTGTCC